TCCTGCTGACTCTGCTGGGCACGTGCTGGGCTCTAGCAAGTTGACCTGGCCTTCCCTCCAGGTGTAGACAGGGCCCGTCTCAGTGCTCAGTGACCTGGGCAGGGGATAAAGGTTATGAATGATGGGGACCAAGGAGGGAATTGGGCTTCTGGAAAACTCAGGGCATCCAATAAGGACAGCAGGTGCTATAGGGCTAGACTCACCAAGGCATCGGGAACGCAGAGCTGTTGGGGGCTTTGAAACATTTTTCTTGGGTTCTGACTTAACTTGTAGGAAGGCCATGGGGCCTACTGGATAAGAGCAAGGAGTCAGGACTCCCTGAATCTGTCCCTACCCTTGGCAAAACATGGGGGTTTGGTTTGCTATTGCCTAGGGATGTTAGGAGTAAGGGTGCTGGGTTCCCTGCCTGGTTTGGGAGGGCAGGGAGTTTACTGGGCTAGGGTGGAGGTGGGGGGATACTGTGAGCCAGGACTCTTGGACTGTATCTACAGCCCTGACAGGGGAGGGGGTTAAGTGGGTTACAGCAGGGAGGGTTGGGACTGTGGACTCCTGGGCTCTGTCCCCAGCTCCAGGACAGGATTTGGGTTTGGCTGGTTCAGGGTGCTGGGATTCAGGACTCCTGAGTTCCAGCTCTAGTTTGGGGGCAGATGGGCAGGGCTGTATTGAGTGTTACTCAGGTGATGCCACTGGGGAAGTCTGGTCAAGGCTGTTGTAGCTCCCAGTATTAGGGCTCCCTGGTCCCCCAACTGCTGTATCTCTTTGCAGACTCTCACTTCTTCCTGTGCCCCTGAGTGGGAGGAGCTGCTGGTCAGATACAAACTGTTTTACCCCTTCCTGGTATATATATAATAAGCAGCAAGGGGACTGAGACTCAGACTCAGCCTCGCAGGCAGCTGGACCTAGCTGTGACAGGATCCCCAGCACCAGAACCTGGGTAAGCATGGGGACACTGCTGTACTGACCCAGCCTCAGGGGAAATGCAGAGAGGGAGCTGAGATGAGGATGCAGCCCTGCCCACCCTGAGGGAGGCACAGCAGGAGTGTCTGTCATTAAGAAAGAAGATAGAGACTCTCCAAGTCAGACTTCATGGCAGGCTGGTGCTGTGGTTCGGCTGTGCGGTGGGGTTGTCAGGGCTGGCCCCCTTTCCCCTTCTTCTGGGATGGGAGTTTGGAGACCAAATCCTAAGACAGGGGTTTAGGTTGTAGCCGTGTTGGTCTAAGGACATAGGCAGACAAGGTTCCTTGGGTGAATTTGATATCTTTTATTAGACCAACCCAAACAGTTGGATAATAGTTATTAAGCAAGCTTTCGGGTTCAAAAACCCTTCGTCAGGCTAAGGAAGTTTCAGCAGTTGGTGTGTGCTCTTCCTGGATGGATGCTTCTTCCATCCAGGAAGAGCACACACCAACTGCTGTAACTTCCTTAGCCTGATGAAGGGTTTTTGAACCCGAAAGCTTGCTTAATAACTAAATCCTAAGACAGGGCATTTTGGCATTCTCAGGTCCTGCTGAGAAATGCAGCTGTGACTGCTCTGTGCCTCAGTTTCCCTATGTGCAAACAAGGTCTAATTTCTTTATGTGTCTTGTGCCTGTGCAGTACGAGATCTTTGAGCAATAGGGGTCTGTGCAGTGCCCAGTACAACGGCCAGTAGGGCATGTGCAGCACCCGGCACAGACGGGGTGTTGTTTCAGACAGAGTTGGTCCATTGCCTGGTGTAATTAGGCCCCATCTTAGCCAGACCATCGAGGTGTGACTGTCAATGCCGTAACAATTCTCCTGTTTCTAGGTGAGGAGGATCTTTATGTGGTGCCAGTAGATTTGGGGAGAAGGGACTTAGGGATATTGATGGAGGGTGGGGTGCGGTGATGGGAGAGAGATTTGGGGCAGTATGGGGTGGGCAGGGGAAGAACCAGGGGTTGTGTAGTGGTGTGGTTGCACCCCATCCCCGTTGAATTCCCTGCCCAGTAGCTCAGCTCTGCAGCTGTTGGTGAACTAAGGACTTTGGATTCTTATTGAGCATACGAGGCTGCAGTGGCTGAACAGCCCGGGAGGGTTTCACTTGTGTCTTGGCAGTGACACTTCCTTTGCTTCTTTCCCATTTCACTCTGCGCTGCTCCACATCCCACTTGGGAAAATCCTAGATCCACTGATGGTGGTGGGGAGAGGTAACAGGACGAGGGTCTTTGGGTCAGTGCCACAGCATGAGGGGGTTGTGGTTAGTCTCCAGCTCTGGTAACTGTCTCCATTCATCTCCACTGCCCCTGCAGGTGGATTGAGTGGATCTTGGGGAGCCATGTCTCCAAGGGGACCCCATGCCACCCTGATGCTGCTGTTCTTCCTGCTATGCTGCTGTTCTTCCTGCTGCCCCTGTCGTTGTCCTGGCTGGCTGTAGACGACTGGGAAAGGCCCTACAACAAGTTCCAGAGACAGCATGTGGACAGTCAGTCAGAGCCTCCATTCACTAGCTGCTACTGCAATGAAATGATGAAGACAAGGAATATGACCACTAATGAGTGTAAGAACACCAACACCTTTATCCATTCTCATATATTGACGATAAATGCCATCTGCAGCAACAGATACAGAAAACATGACCATTATGTTAGCCCCAATTTATTTAATGTCACTGTGTGCAAAATAAACCGTCATGCACAAAATGGCTGTCACTACACTGCATGGAACAGGGTAAAGAAGATTTGCATTGACTGTTGGAATGGTAAGCCAGTGCATTATGTCTCACTGTGAAATTGCTAGCTCTGAGCACCACTGCCCCATCTCAGTCCAAATGCCACTGCATTGGTGCCTTCCTATTGCCCATTATGCGGTGCAGGGGCTGACTTGAATTTTCTTGCTGCTTTCTGCAATTTCTTTGCTTGTGACAAGATATCAGGAGAATTCACAGATTCATTGGAATTGTTGCTTTTCCTGTGGCCTCAAACGTGCAAACTCTAGACTGTAAATCATGCACCATAGTGCCTGCACCACCCTAGCCCCCCATATCAAATAAACAGCTGCAACTGCAAATTGTCTGGGACTGTGTGTGTTTGTGTGCACGTGTGTGTGTGCATGCCTCTGTGTGTGTATGTGTGTGTGTTGCAAACTGTCTGGGAGTGTGTGCGTGCATTTGTTTGTATGTGATGCAAAGTTTATGGAAGTGTGCGTGTGGAAGTGTGTGTGTGTTGCAAACTTTCGCAGTGTGTGTGTGTGTATGATGCAAAGTGTCTGGGAGTGCGTGTGTGTGTTTCCGTATGTGTGATAAACTGTCTGGGAGTCTGTGTATGTATGTGTGTGTTGTAAACTGCCTTTGTGTGTGTGTGTTGCAAACTGCCTGGGAGTGTGCATGTGTGTGCATGTTGCAAACTCCCTGAGAATGTGTGTGTGTGTGTGTGTGTGTGTGTGTGTGTGTGTGAGCCTTACAAACTGTCTGGGAGTGTGTGTGTGCACATGTGTGCCTGTTGCAAACTGCCTGGGGGTATGCAAGTGTGAGTCTGTGTGTTGCAAACTTTCTGGAAGTGTGCACCCATGTTTCATAGTTTCATAGTGCTTAGGGTCAAAGGGACCTAAACAGATCATCAGGTCCAACCCTCTGCCTCGGGCAGAAACGGGTGCTGGGGTCATATCACCCCAGCCAAATATCTGTCCACCCTCCTCTTGGAGACCCCCAAGGTAGGAGACAGCACCACCTCACTTGGGAGCCCATTCCAGAGCCTGGCAGCCCTAATCGTAAAGTAATGCCTTCTGATGTCCAGCCTGAACCTTCTCTCTAATGACTTGTGGCTGTTATTCCGAGATATCCCCGGTGGTGCTCGGGGGAACAGAGCCTCCCCCAATTCCTGTTGGTTCCCCCTGATGAGTTTGAAAATGGCCACCAGATCCCCTCTCAGCCTTCTCTTGTGGAGGCTGAATAGGTTTAGGCCCTTTAGCCTCTCTTTGTAGGGCCTGCCCCGCTGCCCCTTGACCATGCGAGTGGCCCTCCTCCGGACCCTCTCAATGCTAGCCACATCCCTCTTGAAGGACAAGCAAAACTCATGTCATGGGTGACAGTGTGTGTGTTAAGGCGCAGCAGGGTGAAACCTGCAGGCCTGCTAGCCCCTGCTGTGGCCACGAAGCCTGCCAGCTGTCAAGGAGATAGGCGCAAGGGTTCTGGGTTCTGGCACCCTGCACCTCTAGTTGCTGACAGACAAAACTCATGTCATGGGTGCTTGTGCAACTGTTTGTCTTGGGGCACAGCAGGGGTGGGGGAAAACTACTGAAGGCCTGGCTGTTAGGCCCTGCTGCAGCCACAAAGCCTACCAGCTATTAAGGAGATAGGTGCAGGGGGGTTCTGGGCCCTGCACCCCTAGCTGCTGACAGACAAAACTCGTGACATGGGTGCTTGTGCAACTGACTATGTCTGTCTTGCAGCAGAAGCAGTTCCCAGCTCTGTATTGATTCTTTCTTCTCCTTAGCCTGTGGTTTCCTAGGTGTTAATCCTTGCTCATTAACTCTGTTATCCACCACTTTCTGGGTGTGACCATCGAGCCAATTTGCCACCCATCTGACTGTGTAGGCATCAGTGCAGCAGTCATCTAGTTTTTTTAAGAGAATATGGAGGGAAACCTTGTCAAAGGCCTTCTTTAAGTCCAGGAAGACAACATCCACCCCGACACCCTTGTCCAGGGACTTTGTGACCTGATCATAAAAAGAAACCAGCTTAGTCAGGCAGGACCTGCCCTCAATTAACCCATGTTCGTTGCCCCTGAGCATTACCTCGCCTGCTGGGCACTTGCAGATATGCTCTTTCATAATTTTCTCAAAGGTCTTCCCAGGGACCGAGGTGAGACTGACTGGCCTATAATTGCCAGGGTCCTCCTTTCTCCCCTTCTTGTAAATGGGGACCACATTGGCTCTTTTCCAATCCTCTGGTA